TAAATCTTTAAATTTTAACAGAAGCATGTATGTAGAGAAATAGATATTACAGAAATATAATCAAATGTAAAAAATAATCACTGCATAGTTTTTAGTGTATTAATTGCAAGTAAATTGATTATTATTAAAGTTATTCAGTCAAGACCAGTCAAGAGTGTTTCCCCTTTCCTTTTGTTGTTTGATTAACATAAGGGTCATTTTGTGTCAAATCAACCAAATTTCAGAAACTTTCCCATCAAATTTTTGATTTTGTCAATATTTTACCTGAAGAAAGATAAACATTTATAGCGTTGAAAGCCAAAATATTAAATGTCATGGATGTATATTTGCTGAGTAATCCACTATTTTGTAGAGGTGGGTCAAAATGACAATTTTCTCCTGAGATTCATAGCCAAATAACAGGAGGGTAAAGATAACTTCAGAAAGATTCATATTGAGATTCATATTGAGGTTCCAATATTGCTGGAATGGGAGCAGATAGTGCCTTAAAAATGAAGACACCAAAAGAAAAATGTGTTAAAACCCAAAATCTAAAATGGCATTAAGACATCTGTAATATTTCTTGAGTTACAGGCCTGCAAACATTGGAAAAACATTTTTTAAAGTGCTTTTTTCCCATTTTTTAACAATCACTATTGGCGTATAATGCAACAAAGATTGCTTAAGTCAACAGATTTTACTAACAGACCTACCAATCTTTGTGTGAAAATAACATGATGCTGCCGACTTTCTGAAGTAATTTTTACCCCCTTGTAATTTGGCTCCGAATCTCAGGTGAAAATTGTCATTTTGACCCCCCTCTACAAAACATCCATGACATATCATATTTTGGCTTTCATTGCTACACATGTTTGTCTATCTTCAGAAAAATATAAACAAAATCAAAAATTTGAGCTTTGGTTGAGTTAATGCATGGATCTGATATAATGTTATACATCACAGTGTTTCCCATACATTGGTTTATTTGTGGCGGCCCACCACAATGACAAAACTGACCGCCACAAATAGATTTTCCAAAAGGCTTTGACTTTGTTGAATAAACATGAGCACTGCACGTTTCAAAGTCAAAATGTGGCGCGGGTGTTTTTATATGAATGTATTTTGAAGGGAACTGACTGTCTTTAGAAAAGTTTCGATGTCATTTTCATTTAATCTTTCCTATAATGCCTGATAAAGCAGCATTTATGAGTGCATCCCTGCTTTGTTTACAGCCGTTACCGGGGAAACCGCGGTTTCTGCAGCTCCTCAAGCGCCTCCTGATGGCAGAGAATGAATTTGCATTTTCAATCAGTCAGCCCGTCAGCTGTTTTATATCCTATATTTCCCCGGGGGAAGTGCTGCCACAAATAGAGTGTAAGTCTGTGGGAAACACTGCATCAGATTTTTCCCTCAACTGTTTCTGTTCACTTAAGACATAACCAATTGTGCTTACCTGAATACTTACCTAGACAGATATTTTGAAATAATTCTGTGTCTGTCTGACTGTTCAAGCACAATATGCCACAAAAGAGAACTGAAGGATCACATGCTGTCTGAGAGAGGCGGCTTTCTGTGCATCAAGTGCATCAGGCAGTGCAAGTAATGCATTGAGATCTTTTTTGTGGCTTATTGTGCTTAATAACTGTTTAACATTAAGCACGTCCTGCAGTACCCTCAGTAAAAACCAAGACATCAGTCACAAGTGCTTTGCTTCCTAAGGACATATGCAACTTTTTAAATATATAATAAGAGTAGCCTACTTTATTTACAACAAAACAGTATTGTCATCGTAAAAATGTTTATATTCTGCAGCTCTAGTATCAAATGGTATATCATTTTGGCTCAAACTAATTGTTTTCAGAAGTATTCTCTTAATTCAAAGCAATGACATGCATTTGTTGAAATCAGTTCCCAGGGAGTTACTGACTTTAGTAGACTGAACTGCCTGACTGGATGTGTGCGTAATGGCCACCAGCCATATCCCTTTTTATACTCCTCTGCAGCGCGGGTCTGTAACTGAGTCGTCTATACAGGTGCCACTGTTAATGAGTGGAGATGCAGGCTGCGTTTTACTGCCTGGCACTGCAGAGGTGTGCTAATTACCACAGCAGTGCTCCTGAGAGCAGTGCATTACTGGGTGATGTGCATGGAGTCAGCATGGCAACAGCCCTGTGGCAAGTAGGTGATGCTTAAGACTTGAACCTTTATCTGTAGATTTCATCATTCAGAATATTTGCAGGGATACTTCTGTGGTTTGTGGGATGGTGATGTGAATATTAAGTTCACAGAATGCCTCATTCAGTGTGCATCATTTGGCATTTTTGTACTGTATTAGTTTATTAGTCAAAACCTTAAAATACATTGTGCATTATGCACATTTGGCATGAACAGCCTCACGAAGTCCAAATTAACATTTAATCAGCTGTTTTGCTATTAAGAACTATTATAAGTGTTTTAAAAGTTCACCTGAAGTATATTAGCATCGTTGCATCAAAATCAGACTTCTTTTTAGATGAAACTTGATATGAAAGTTTTGAACTTTGCATCAGTTATTTTGTTGCTGCTTTTTATATCTGATGCTTTTGTTTTTGATATCCAACTCCTTTATTTTGATCAGTATTTCAAAGTTTTTCTGAGTGATTCCAACTCTGCTGCCCACAGTTTTACCTGCTACAGTTAGCTTTGGTGATTCTTGTGTAGTCTTTATTCTTTCAAATGCATAGATGCTCATATTTGATGAGGGCAAAGTGTGCAAATTCTCCTTTATTGAAAACACTGTTGTTATCCAACATATCCATGAGCTGATTTTTTTTTTTGGTCTGAATCAACGTCAAGTGTTTGGGTTAAAATGTATTTTGAATGTAATATGTTTTTTTTTTTAATAATAAAAAAAAAATAGTACCATTTGTCACCATGTTTTTGCTTTCACTATTTCATTTTAAATGGTTCTCAGGTAGTATAATTTAAAGTCATAAAAGTTGTATTCGTTATGAAAAAATAAGTAAAATTCTGTTTAAAATAGTTTTAGGTGATATTACCATGTCACCACAGAATATTAATTAATGCTATCTACCCTTTTGTAGAGATTTTTGATATCAGTGTTGATACTGTGACTCTGAGAACCTTCAGACACTGGCTAACCTTTCATTTACGTTTATGCGTTTGGTAGACAGTTTTATCCAAAAGCATGTTCAGGCTATTTATATTATCAGTACATGGATGGATGGTTGCCTTACCTTTCACATTTATTTTGCTGCTGTCTGCCTGGCATTGCTTTTGGGGTGGTTGCCTGATAGTTGCAACATGCAGAGGTTTCAGTTTGTCAGTGCAGTTTATTTCTGCAATCTATGTGAAAATCAGATCAGATGCATGAGAAATGGAGGAGTCCACTGCGCATAGATTTGGTTTAATTTAATTAGCAATGCCCAAAGGCGCTCATTTCCTGCACGTGAATGGCGAGGATGCTAAATTTGAATTTTAAGTTTGCACTTCATACAGCTGGATCAGAGGGTCTCATCCTTGCGCTGGAAAAAATCTTTTAAATTAGAGGGTCATGACTCACCTTTATGGAAATGACCGAATAATGAAAAAAGAGTGTCTGTCATAGCACTGGCCTCACAGACATCTCATTCATCAGATTTCAGAGGCTCGTGCTCGCTTTCTGCCATTCTAGAGGAATTTCAATGAGGTTCCCGAGAGAACAGGGGAGGTATTTTTAAACCGAGGTTCGTCTGAATAATATGTGGGATATTCCCTCCCCTGGTGCCTTCCGGTTGTGTTGTCATTTTCACGATAAGACGTTCTATGCAAAGTGCAGATGGATTATGCCGCCTGACCATGTACCTATGTGACGGGACGGGCCTCACGCTTTTGCTACTATTTTAAGCCAGAGAGGGCAGCGTGCCTAAAACACAAGGTTGTTTGTTGGGTGTAGGGTGCAGCCGCAGGCAGGAATAAGAGACCATGCCGCACGACGACGACACCGAGGCCTGTTTACAACGGAGATACATGGAGAGGGGGAAGGGTAGAGGGAGAAAGAAAGGGTTACGCTACCCTTAGGAGAATTGGAATTCTTTGTGAACCGTTCCCCCATTTGGCTGGCAGTTGTGAAAACAATTCCGCAGCATTTACTCAGTTTGCGGCTCAGATTACAGTTGTGTGAGTCAGCTGCAGGGTGCAGGCCGGAGGTAGGAGGTGGGCCAGACGGCTTGGCCAGTCTGTGCAGCTCAGTGATTTTTTTTTGTCTGCAGATCAGCGTCTGTTCTGGAGCTTCTCTCCAAAGAGAAACGCTGCCTGTTTGAATGTGCTAATTAAAATGACATTGGTTCCAGCTGGAGTGGTTCTAACTATTGAAGTGTCGGCACGCTTCAGAAGTGATCGCTCATATCCTGACAGTGTCGGGCAATATAATGATCCCCTCTCTCGCTCTTCTCCGCAGGTTTTGTTTTTGAGTGACGCCGACAAAAACCGTGATCTGAGGGAGCCCCTGCATTCTCGCCGCACCGGATCATCACCCCTCCTTCGCCGCCGCCGTTGCCGCCACTCGACCTGCCACCATGACGTCGGAGCTGGAGAGCAGCTTGACCTCCATGGACTGGCTGCCACAGCTGACCATGCGGGCGGCCATTCAGAAATCGGATGCCCAGAGCACTCACGGGCCGGGCATGGCTAAGAAGAGTGCTCTGCTGGACCCCAACACCACACTGGACCAGGAGGAGGTGCAGCAGCACAAGGACGGCAAACCACCGTACAGCTACGCCAGCCTCATCACGTTCGCCATCAACAGCTCGCCAAAGAAGAAAATGACACTGAGCGAGATCTACCAGTGGATCTGTGACAATTTCCCCTATTACAGGGAAGCCGGCAGCGGGTGGAAGGTAAGAGGCGATGCGCTGTAAGCGTCAGTTAATTTGTCATTATTTGCTTTCTGCCCGTCAGAGACATTTGCATGCACACGAGTGACGTCCCTCCACTTAAATTCAATCAGTGTACCGAATCAGCCCTGAATTTAGTCAGAGGAGACTGCCAAGGTTAATGTGTGAAATTATTCTCATTTCTTATGCTGTCAAGGCTTTTTTTTCTTCCTTTCCTCGCCAAGGAATGTTGCGAAAGTATCAAATAAACAGCCACGCTGCTATTTTGCAAAGCACCATTCAGATCTGTTTATGACCATTAATATTTGATACAGTATCTTGTCTCTCTAGACACAAGAAAATAAAGGCTCTTTTTGGAGACACGTGTGAGAAGGAAGTGTGTTGATATTCACCCAGCCAGATCCAGCCACACAAGCCATAGAAGAGGGAAAAAAGTGCCTTTCATGGCTTGTATTATTCATGCCAGATGCCTTGATAGAAGTCCATTATGTTGGAGAGAGCCATTGCTGTGTCACCATCTCAAGGAGCATATGATATACAGAGATGAAGCCGTGCTGATTGCCTTTTAAAAAGCGGAGATGGAAATTGATATTAGAATGAGCTTTCCAATCAGTTGACATTTATTGGCAATAGAATCGGTAGCACAGCTTTATTGCAGGCAGACAAGATGTACGTGGTTCATATCCGTGCGAGACGTGTCACCGTGCATGCGTGTGTGTGTGTGCGTCTATGCGTCTATCTGTTGGTGAGCATATTTTCACAAACACCACCCTCTTTTGCTCGGATATTTATGTCACTGTAGATATGAGAGCAACACATGATTTTGTCATTTTAAAAATCACCTTAAAATATGTTTACAGATGCAGGTTTTACTTGATAACTATAATCAAAATAACAAATCAAACATGTGGCTCTCTACACTTCCACCCCATTGTTGTCTGGATTATAGAGCAGGAGAGTTTTTGCATGTTTATCAATCCTATTACCTAAAGTTTTCTTCCCTTCAGAAGCGTAATGCTAGAGTGCTCTGCTGGACCCCAACACCACACTGGACCAGGAAGAGGTGCAGCAGCACAAGGACGGCAAACCACCGTACAGCTACGCCAGCCTCATCACGTTCGCCATCAACAGCTCGCCAAAGAAGAAAATGACACTGAGCGAGATCTACCAGTGGATCTGTGACAATTTCCCATATTACAGGGAAGCCGGCAGCGGGTGGAAGGTAAGAGGCGATGCGCTGTAAGCGTCAGTTAATTTGTCATTATTTGCTTTCTGCCCGTCAGAGACATTTGCATGCACACGAGTGACGTCCCTCCACTTAAATTCAATCAGTGTACCGAATCAGCCCTGAATTTAGTCAGAGGAGACTGCCAAGGTTAATGTGTGAAATTATTCTCATTTCTTATGCTGTCAAGGCTTTTTTTTCTTCCTTTCCTCGCCAAGGAATGTTGCGAAAGTATCAAATAAACAGCCACGCTGCTATTTTGCAAAGCACCATTCAGATCTGTTTATGACCATTAATATTTGATACAGTATCTTGTCTCTCTAGACACAAGAAAATAAAGGCTCTTTTTGGAGACACGTGTGAGAAGGAAGTGTGTTGATATTCACCCAGCCAGATCCAGCCACACAAGCCATAGAAGAGGGAAAAAAGTGCCTTTCATGGCTTGTATTATTCATGCCAGATGCCTTGATAGAAGTCCATTATGTTGGAGAGAGCCATTGCTGTGTCACCATCTCAAGGAGCATATGATATACAGAGATGAAGCCGTGCTGATTGCCTTTTAAAAAGCGGAGATGGAAATTGATATTAGAATGAGCTTTCCAATCAGTTGACATTTATTGGCAATAGAATCGGTAGCACAGCTTTATTGCAGGCAGACAAGATGTATGTGGTTCATATCCGTGCGAGACGCGACCCTGTGCGTGCGTGCGTGTGCATGTGTCTATCTGTTGGTGAGCATATTTTCACACCCACCACTCTCTTTTGCTGTGCTGTAAAACGGATATTTATGTCAGTGTAGATATGAGAACAATACATGATTTTGTAAGTTTAAAAATCATCTTAAAATATGTTTATAGATGCAGGTTTTATTTGATAACTATAATCAAAATAACAAATCAAACATGTGGCTCTCTACACTTCCACCCCATTGTTGTCTGGATTATAGAGCAGGAGAGTTTTTGCATGTTTATCAATCCTATTACCTAAAGTTTTCTTCCCTTCAGAAGCGTAATGCTATTTCCGCTGAAAAGATTTGTATTTGCAGATATATGAGGTGAGTTTGAGGGTCAACGTGGTGCTTTTACTCATTTAAAACGAACCTTTTTATTCTCTTGCTAGAAACGTGCTCACACTCCGTCCGTGGTACCTAGGAAGATGGCTGTAAGTTAAATTGCTTGCTAGCACCTGTAAAGCCTTTTGTGACATCAGCCTTTCTCTTTTCCTTTCCCCTCCCCCCTCTGCAAACATTTTACACGGTGGACAGACATAACAAATGGATTTCTGCGTTTTTCACTAAATTCACTGAAATCGCTGTACAAGGTTGCTGCCCTGACACGTTTAGCGAGAGACGGCTTTCCATTTTGCTGGAATGTAGCCTTTTTTCAAAAGCCTCATGGAAAGAGGCGAGATCCAGCCACGCAGGCCATAGATGAGGGAAAAAAACTGCCTTTCATGGCTTGTATTATTCATGCCAGATGCCTTGATAGAAGTCCATTATGTTGGAGAGAGCCATTGCTGTGTCACCATCTCAAGGAGCATATGATATACAGAGATGAAGCCGTGCTGATTGCCTTTTAAAAAGCGGAGATGGAAATTGATATTAGAATGAGCTTTCCAATCAGTTGACATTTATTGGCAATAGAATCGGTAGCACAGCTTTATTGCAGGCAGACAAGATGTATGTGGTTCATATCCGTGCGAGACGCGACCCTGTGCGTGCGTGCGTGTGCATGTGTCTATCTGTTGGTGAGCATATTTTCACACCCACCACTCTCTTTTGCTGTGCTGTAAAACGGATATTTATGTCAGTGTAGATATGAGAACAATACATGATTTTGTAAGTTTAAAAATCATCTTAAAATATGTTTATAGATGCAGGTTTTATTTGATAACTATAATCAAAATAACAAATCAAACATGTGGCTCTCTACACTTCCACCCCATTGTTGTCTGGATTATAGAGCAGGAGAGTTTTTGCATGTTTATCAATCCTATTACCTAAAGTTTTCTTCCCTTCAGAAGCGTAATGCTATTTCCGCTGAAAAGATTTGTATTTGCAGATATATGAGGTGAGTTTGAGGGTCAACGTGGTGCTTTTACTCATTTAAAAGGAACCTTTTTATTCTCTTGACAGAAACGTGCTCACACTTTGTCCGTGGTACCTGGGAAGATGGCTCCAAGTTAAATTGCTTGCTAGCACCTGTAATGCCTTTTGTGACATCAGCCTTTCTTTTTTCTTTCCACTCCCCCCCTCCGTACACATTTTACACGGTGGACAGGCGACATAAATGGATTTCTGCGTTTTTCACTGAATTTACTGAAATCGCTGTACAAGGTTGCTGCCCTGACACGTTTACCGTGAGTCGGCTTTCCATTTTGCTGGAATGTAGCCTTTTTTCAAAAGCCTCATGGAAAGAGGCGACCTTCCACTGTTCTCAATGATGGCTGCTAATTGCCACATTCCATTTCTATATCATGCATTATTACAGCTATTATTTTGGGGATCTAGCTGTATGTCAGTTTACAATGGGCCAAATATGCATTCTGTAGTGTGTTAGTGTTCGTTTAAGCAGAGTAATGAAAAGTTAGATAATTGGATACAGTTCTATTGCTTTTTTATTTACATAAATTTAAGTTGAAGATATAGCTGAACTCAAAGGCATGCTGGTCAGTCTGTGAAAGTGCTTGCATTTAGATGCGAGACAGGCTGAGGCACTATGCCTATGTGATGTGGAAAATGGCTTTTAGGATATCGCAGCACAGAAGCATCTCATAGGCGGAAGAGCATGCACTGATGGGAAAACAGATCTATGGAGCTGGTGTTAAGAATTGTATAACAGCAATACGAGTGTTTCTTTTAATAGACCGGAGAGCTCGAATCTCACTCTGACCGCCGTTGACTATTATTTTAGAGAGATCCTTTGTCTCTGAAGTGCGCGCTGCTATATTTGCGCATTTGCACATATGCCAAGCGTGGCTGGGGTGAATGTAGGTCTGTGTGCAGTCATCGCCCTCCATCTCTCCACACCCCCCCCGAGATGTCGGCAGCAGGAATTTATGACCCAGCGCACGCACACGTCTGTTCTCTATGATAATTCTAGCTGTGCCAGAGAGATGAGACCAGGCTAATCCAGGCGGCGGCAACTCATTTAGTCATCTCAATAGAACTCCATTAGCCAACGCTTTTAAGAAATATCAATAAGTGCTGTCAGTAAGAATAGATAATTCATCAAGGTCAAAAAATATTAATACAGTATTTGGGGAGATAGATATGCAGCTTGAGATGAATTTTAGCACATTCTGTCTCTGCATTATGAAACCTGTTACTGTAGAGTAGGGTTGTTGCCAGGGTTAGAAATTAACTTTTTTTGCTGACAAGCCACAGTGGCTGGTGAAATGCAGAATTTTACTAACCGCTCATGTCCCCCCCACCCCTAGCTATTTTTATTTTTTTCTTTAAATTAATCTATATAAAATAACTCACCACGATGTGGAATTGAACAATTATTTCCCTTTTAAAGTAACTTTTCTTTTTTCACACTGTCACTGGCTTTGTAAGGGGACTCTTTGGATTTTTATAAGCTATCGCAGTGTGTGGGACTTCTATTCCTATACACTACTGGTTAAAAGGTTGGGGTAATTATGATTTTACTTTTTTTTTTTTTAAGAAATAAATGTTTTCTTTTATTCCTCAAGAACACATCACATTGATCAAGTGACACTAGACATTTTTAATATTACAAAAGATTTATAATTCAAATAAATGGCTGTTTGAAAA